TTTGTAGAAAAAAAAAAAGGAAAAAAAAGCAAAAAAAAAACGCTGATTCTGGCCATCCCGCAGCGTTACAACAAGCCTTACGAGTCCGAACGCGTTCGGTTGCGCTTGGGCGAGGAGGGGGGTCTCTCCGGCCGCTCCGAGGGCCGGTCCTCCGGATCCCATCCCGCATGGAAAACCGAAGCGACTTCCGTAGTGAATCCCGCTCCCGCTCTCGGTGTGCGGTGCGGATAACCGGCCGTGCTCCCCGTTCCGTATTTGTCGGAATCCTTTTGTCTCCCGGTTCTATTTTTGCAGCCGCGCCGACCTGGCATGTATTCGAAACGAAATCTCCCTGTTCGAGTAGATTTCCCACCTATCAACACTGAATAAATGCCATAAATCCATCAAAGACGGTCTAAATGTTCCATCTGTTCTCCTGTTTTGCCAGTTATAGAGTAATGAAGAAAAAAAAAAGAAATACATTTGTAAATTTTATGCAACAAATGGCAAACGTATCATTATTTTGGAATTGTGTATGTAAAAGTTATATTTTTACATGTAGACTCTTGTTATTATGTGTTTTAATACATTGTATCGGTTCTTTTTGTTTATAAAAATCTGTGTGGTTGAAAAAAAAAACAAAAAAAAGAAGAAAAGTCTCATAGGAATGAAATAGCGAGAGAACAAGAATCTGCATTTTATGTTTGTTCCTGAAAAATGTCAAAAACGAGCCCGGCGTCGGTCCCGGTGCCGCCGCGCGTGCGGAGAGCTGCAAATCCCCTTGTCGGACCACGACCGGAGCTTTTCCCGGAGCGACGGCTGCTGGATTTGGCTCCGCGGGGGCCCCGGAGTTTTGCCGCCGAAAATGCCGAGTTTGGGGTGTTTTTGAGCCCGTTTTTTGGATAAAAAAGCCGCCCGCGACGCGTCCATCCCGCGTTGCCACCACCATGGGGGCAGAGAGCCGAGCTCGGGGTAGGAATCAGGCCCGGGAGCTCTTTTTGGGAACAAAAACATGGGAAAACGGCCCGTTTGGGGACGCGACGGCCACCTCCGGGCCCCCGCAAGGACCACGAGCGTCCCCGCTGATCCAGTCTTCCGATTTCCTTTTGCTTCTAGCGCGTTTTTTGGTTGTTTGGGGGTTTTTTTAAGTCTTTTGGTTTTTCTTCCAGGGGTTGGGGAGAAAAGGCAGGGAAAAGGGGCACCGGGAAAAGGAGGGATTCGCCTCCGGAGCCGCCGGGCAGGGAACGAACCGGAGCGCAGAGCGCCAGCAGGGCCAGGGATGTGAGCGGAAACAAGCACAAAAATAAATATATAAATTAAAAAAACACAAAAAAAATGCAAAAAAAAAAGGAAAAAGCAAAAACGAGTCCTCTGGTTGACTGGAAAAAAAAAACCCGAAGGTGGAATATGCTGAATTCCAACGCGATGGGGCACCAGGGCCTGGGGGGGCCCTACAGCTTTTCGTTGCGGTTCTGTTCCGTTGGGTTCTGTTTTCGTTTTAAAAAACCATGTTCTTTCTCATGGGACTTGAAGTTGACTCCTATTTGTGCAGTGCTGGTTTGCCCATCCTCATTTCAAGTATTATAGACTTCTGTAATGGTGATATAATATATGAACTGTGGCCTTTTTCATTCTTGTTACTTGTGATGCAATTAAGTGACGATAAGGATTAAAAAAAGAAAAAAAGAAAAAAAAAAGGAAAAAAAAAAAGCAGAGATTTACCATGTATCAGTGCCTGGCTTTTTGTTATAAAGCTTCGTTTGTCTAGTGCTCTTTTTGCTATAAAATAGACTGTAGTACACCCTAGTAGGAAAAAAAAAAGAAAAAAAAAAACTAAATTTAAAAATAAGAAATATATTTGGCTTATTTTTCACAGGAGCAATCCTTTTATACCATGAATATTACGGGGAGGCGGGCGGGGGAAAACTGTCAGATTCTGAATATTTCTTCTTTGTAGATTTTTGGAATCATTCGGAGTAAAAGTTTGTTACTTTATTTTGCTATTTAAAAAGATGTTATTTTACCATGTGTTACGGAGATGAAACTGTACGGTAGCGCTTTTTCTTTTTTTTTAATTTTCTTTTTTTCTTTTTTTTTTTTTAGTTTGTAGGTCGCAACGGGGGCGTTTTTGCGACTATGCACATAGCTGCGGCAGTAAAAAAATAAATCAAAAAAATGGAAAAAAAAAAAGGAAAAAAGGGAAAAAGATTTAAAAAAAAAACAAAAAGATGAACAGTTACACCTTGTTTTCAATGTGTGGCTGAGTGCCTCGATTTTTTCATGGTTTTGGTGTATTTCTGATTTGTAGAAGTGTCCGAACAGGTTGTGTGCCGGAGTTCCTTGGGAAGCCCGACGACCCCGGCGTGCTGTTGGCCATTGCCTGTTTCTCATCTGTAGTTTTTCCGATGCCGTCATGTACATGACCGTTCTGTAGCAATAAATGTGCCATTTTTCTACCCCGTTTCCGGCACTTTTTGTCTCCTTCGAGGCCCGGCCCGGGCGGGATTGCGCTTGGCTTCCAGCCGCAGGAGGATGGAATGGGAATGGGGACAAGGATCATGCCGGGGTGGTGGGGACAGACCCGGGGCGCTCCGGCCCCGTTTGTGGAATTCTCGGCATCTCCCGTCTTTCCGCTCGAGGATTCCCAGCCCTCGTGGCCTCGTCCCTCCCTCCATCTCTCCCAAAATTGCCGGAGCGGAGCCACTTGGAGGTCCGGGAAGGGCTATGGGTCTCTCTCCGGAAATGCCGCAGAATTCCCGCTTTTCCGCGGAGCGGAACCGTCGGGCTCCCGGCCCTGGCCCAGCTCCAGTCCCGCTAAAGCCGCTGATCCCCTTGGTGCCGCTAAGCCAATATCGGTGCTTAGAGCCGAAATCCCGCGGCTGCCTTGGGAATCCATCCCGGAAATCCGGCACTGCCGGCGGGGCCTTTGCTCTGCAAAACGGGGCAGCTCGAGGGGATTAAACCAGCTCAAATAGGCCAGGACTATCCCGGTGCTCCCGTTTGGTCCAAGCGGGAGGAAGGTGCCGCGGAGGACGGTGGTGGCCTCGTGCAGCCGGGTGCCACCACGGCACAACCGTAGCCAATGGTTTCCAGGGGAATATCCCTGGTTTCCACCATGTATCCCTAGTTTCCGGCGCGTGTCTTTGGAACAAAGCCCTTTCCTTGGGCTGGGCCATTGCTTCTTCCCAAGGAAAATACCCCCAGGAGCAGCAAATGGCCTCATGCTCCCATATGGATAATCGGCATGGGGAGAAACCACGGTTGTGCTTCCTCCTTGCCAAATCCAGGGAATTTGGAGCTCTTTTCCAGCATCTTTGCAGCCTGCAAAGGTTTTGGAGCGATGCTCCTGTCTCCAAGAGCAGTGGGACCAATGTCCATTAGGAAGCACGGGAGCAGACTGGGAAAACCGGGAAAAGAACGGCTCCTTGGCCTTCGGTCTCCAAAACCACCGGGAATTTGCGCTGCGACTTTGCATGGAAAGAAGCAAAGATGTATGGGAACAAAAAAGAAGCCGAGCGCGGATGAAAACATCCGAGTGGATTAAAGGCCACCGAGCCCCACTTAGATGCAAAGATTCCGCTCCGTTCCCCAGTAAAGTGGAATAAAAGGGCCTCAAAGATCATTAAAATTAATCGGAGATTAGCCGGAACGAAACGCAAGACCCGCTGAGCCGGTGTTATCTGCTATCGGGCGAACTTGGTTTAGCCGAGCGATAAGACTATGAGCTTTGGAGCACCATAATAAGGATAAATAAGATTGCTTCAATCCCCCGAGAGCCGTGGCGAGCGTGCGAGGCCGGCCGGCCCCGGCTCCCATCGGCAGCAACGGGAACGAACCCCTTTAGGAGGAGGATTTGCCCTAAAAATGAGCAGGCTGGGAGGTTACCATTAAATTCATATTCTTTTGATGGGAGTAATTAACACCTTTTGATGA